TTCTTCTTCTTCTTTTTTTTTTTTGGAGAGATTTTTGCTATAGGGCGTGTGCGCTCACCAGACAGACAAGAGAGAGACAGAGAGAGAAAAAGTGAGAAACCACCCCCCAGGGAGAATGGCCACGCCGCAATCCCTTCTCCTCCATTCTCCTCTCGGGATTTTGGGCACGCACGCACACATGCCCAGCTTGTGTTTAAGTCACTGGGTCCAGGACTCGAACCGTGGTCAACAACGTGGGAGTCCAGTGACATAGCCATTACGCTAACTGCTGGTCCCCATTTCTGTCTTCTTTAGAAGAAACCTCATTGGATGGAAAAGCTCAAACTCATGGAACTAAGAAAGGGGGTGGGGAAACGTAACAGGTGACTGATGCAATTACGGTCATGCATCAGTTAGTGATGGGGTTACACTCGGAAATGCATCCTTAGGCAATTTCATCCCTGTACCAATACTGCAGGCTGCACTTACACACGCCTAGGAACGCAGCCTGCTGCACATGTGGGCCATCTGGTACGGCCCGTTGTATTCTCACAGGACCACTGTCACGTACACAGTCTGTCACTGACCTAAAGGCTGTTATGTCGCACATGACTGTATTCATTTTCCGAAAGCATGCTGTGCAGAATTTCTTCAACTACAAACACCCCTATGTATTTTAAATGATTTCATCCTCATTTCACCCTGCTGCCAAGTTTTGAGAGGTTTTTGCTATAGGGCACATGCACTCATCAGAAAGACACAAAGAGATAGAAAGCGAGAAATCACCCCCCAGAGGGGATGGCCATGCTGCAATCCCTTCTCTTGGGGATTGCATGCACATACACCTGGCGTGAGTTTAAGCCACCAGGTCCGGGACTCAAACCACAGTTGAGTACATGGGAATCCAGCAACATAGCCATTACCCATCTGCTAGTCCCTTATATACAATTTTTTTTAAAGAATCACATTAAACAAGTCACACCTTGGGCTGGCCCCATGACACAGTGGGTAAGCACTGAGCATTGAAAGCCAGAGCCCATGTGGCTGACTGCAATTCGAATCCGAGCCCTGGCAGCTTGAGAAACACTCGGGCGCATGTGCACGCATGTCCTGAACCAACACAGGATGGAGAAATGGGAGAAAAGCCAACCGCGGCAAGGCCACGTCTCACTGAGGCGAGGGGTGCTCTTTCTCTCTCTTTCTCTCTAGTGAATGAATTCATTCTCTGACCCTATCCTCAGAAAAGAATTCAAAAATAAATCTTCAATATCAATGGGGATACAGCTAGAAAGCTCAGACAAAAGCACTCATATTTTTGATTGGTGCTTCTTAAACTTGAACAAGCAGACAAAGCCCTCGGGACCTTGTTAAATAGCAGATTCTGATTCAGAAGGTCTGGGCTGGGGCCTGAGAATCTGCATGTCTAACAAGCTCATGCCACAGCTCCACGACTGCATTCCAAGAAGCAAGTTCAAGTGGTGATCTGGCCCTAAGCCACTGGGTACGGGAGGTTTGTGGTATGAGAGTCTACAGCAAGCCCTGCTCGCCCTGCTGCCAAAACGGATGTCTAGAATGTGTGTTCTGTTTTGCTAATCATGGTGCCAAATGTCCTTGAAGGGAATCTTCCTCTGCCCATTTCAGATTTTAAAAATAAAAACTTGTCACCTGCATATTTATTTGATCATTTTAATTTATCTTGCTACACCCCTTCCCATTCTTGTCAAAAACTATTCCACTTTCTTTTGCTTATCCTCCAGGAATCCTCTAGCCTTCTAACAGACATTGATCAGGAAGACGATTGTAACTGTCAATCCTTCTTTCTAGCAGTACATAGGAAAAATACAGAAGAGAAAAATCGCCCGTATTTCCTTATTTGTCCATACCCAATGTTCTTGTCCTTTTGTGAGTATGCCAGAAGTTCCTCTAATCACGTGTGCAGCTGTGGGATTACATTAGCTTTAGAGAAGAATGTGCCCAGTACCTGTTGGTTGGTCTCTCTCTCTCTCTCTCCTGTGCCGGGTTGATGTCCTATCTGGTTCCTGCTTATCCTGCCAGAAGCTGAACTCGCTCATTCAACAACTATTTACTGAGCACCTGCCTCATGCAAGGCAGTGTCCTGAACATCGGGAATTATCAATGGGAAGCATGGCGATCCAATGGTCTGTTGGCTACGTTGGCCAACCGTGGAGCAAAGAACTGGGACAGAATGTGTACTTTCAGAGTGCGCTGGCTTATTTGAAATCTTGGGTCGTTTTCTCTTATAGTCTTGCCCTCAGGAAGTTCACTTGTTTACATCTCATCATACTGAATACTCCCAAATACCTCCAGGTCCATATTTCAAACTAATTTTATAAACACAATGACAAAAACCACACTCGTCCTCTTCCTTCAAAACACTCTATTTATTTTTCTATATTTTCAATGGCACATCTTGTTTTCCACACAGTTATGTTCTAATCCTTAGCCTTTCTATCTCCTTCGCATCCTACAGTCAATGTACTATCAGTATCTGTGGATTCTCTTTTATAACATCTCAGAAATTTGACTTTTCCTCCATTTCAAAGCTATCATCCTCTAAGACGTTCAACCATCAGTGGTCTCTTCCTTTTCTAACTTTGATAATGTCTCTTCACATATTCACTTATTTTTTATTATCATTACTTTTTTTGTTTTGTTTTTGGAGAAGTTTTTGCTATAGGGTGCATGCACTCGCCAGAGAGACAGAGAGAGATAAAGAGACAGAAAGCGAGAAATCACCCCCCCCCCTCAGGGGGGATGGCCATGCCGCAATCCCTTCTCCTCCATTCTCCTCTCGGGATCTTGGGCATGCATGCACATGCGCCTGGCATGAGTTTAAGTCACCAAGTCCAGGATTCGAACCATGGTAGACTGCATGGGAGTCCAGCAACATAGCCATTACACCAACTGCTGGTCCCTATCATTACTTTTTTGGAGAGAACTTTTTGCTATAGGATGCATGCACTTGCTGGAGAGACAGAGAGAGACAGTAAGAGGAAATGCGAGAAGTCACCCCCAGGGGGAATGGCTACACTGCTATCCCTCCTCCTCCATTCTCCTCCTGGGATTTTGGGCACACATTCACACACAGTGGGCATGAGTTTCAAGGCACCCAGGTCCAGGACTTGAACCACAGTTGGCTATATGGGAGTCCAGTGCCTTAACCACTATGCCACCCACTGCCCCCTTCACTTATTATTTTAATAAACATTTACTGCATACTTTCTTGATGAACTCTTTTATGGGAGATGCTGTAAAGATTATAAAATAATTAATAGGTAGTCTTTTCCTCTAAATTCTGTGTCATATCGTTAATACCATAAAAGTTTAGAACTTCATTACAGACACATATTTTCTCTACAGTCTACAGTTTCATAATGATACATAATCACTATAACATATTGATTGGCTGTAATGCCACCAGTAGAGACTTGGTGGGGGGGCCGGGAGGAAGCCCCTGCCACAACCCAAGGCCATGCGTGGGGAACCAGAATTTCCCTAGAATAATGGTGCCCCTCTGCTGGAGGCTCTTGTGCATCCTTGCAAGGAGTGACACAGGTGATCAGAATGTGTGTTCTGATTTGCTATCATGGTACTAGGGTGATAGAAAAAAGAGACCAAGAGTTTGATATCATTATACCTATAGGTGTTAAAAACACATATTACTTTCTAGTACTGACCACCTTTTATTTGTTTGAAAACTCAGAATCACTTATACTGTGATTTGGAGATAAAGATCATTTCTTAGGAATGCAACTAGCACCTAAGAGCCAAGCAGACTGCGTTCAATGGTATTACAACCTCACTAGATGAGTTTGTGCTATTTTGTGTTACAGAAGAGATTGTCTGGCCCCTGAGGGTGGCCCGTTGTTTTCTACTTCCTCCATTCAGTAAGTGGCCCAGATTCGAACACTCCATCAGCTGTCTCACATGATCTATCCAGTCTTACCTCCTCCAGGACCAGACTGACTCTGTTCTTGTACACAGCCCTCAGGGGTCCATAGGGCACTGGTCTCAAGCTACGTGCTATTCCTCGACCTCCTCCCACTCACTGCTATCCACTCATTATGCCCCAGTTCTTCAAGAACACCTCATGGAATACTACCTCCATGAAGTCTGGTCACTACCTCCCTTTCCAAGCCACCTGCAGCACAACTCCACCCCCCCCCAGGCCTCTCAACACTTCTTTAGTGTATTATTCTATGCCACTTCCACTGCTTACTCCTTGGTTTTCATGATAAGTCCAACTTCCTAAAATTACTGCAAATAGATTCAGAGCAGGAATAAGACCTTAGGGAGAGTCTTTGAGTTGACTATTAATGTTTTCCCTGGATCTTTCCATTGCACCTGTGTTGGTGTCAGATGTATCCTTTTTTCCCATGTAATATATGTTCTATACAACCAAGATAAATAATGCCAGTCAATTTATTAGATGTAACAAATTATTTTTACATAAACATACTTCCACAACCTCTCCTGATTCTAATTCCGTACATCAGACTGACGGCAGTGTATGAAGGAGCCTGTTACCTTTCCCAGTGGCTGCACACATTAGGATCTTCAAGATTCAGAGGCGATGTTGTCCCAGTCCAGTGGCAAAACAATAAACAGATTAAGCCCAGGTATGAGTGCAAAGACATAACCATTTTTCTTCCTGAAGAACAACCGAGGGAAAGAAAAAAGAAAGTCCAAATTAGGGAGAGTTAAAATGACACAATTCTTTTGAGTATAGCAACCACACGGTACTGCTTGTCATTAGGTCTGAAATGTGCACAAGAAGCCACATTTTTAAACAGCCAGGCCACCAGATTTCATGGTCCAGGAGAGAGAAGTGTCCTTGTGCTGTGCAGGGTCCCTGCCATTGTGTAAATTACGAAAATGTGCAAATCATCATTAATTGTGACCACGACAAAAACCCTTCTTCTCCACCCAGCTGACATTAAAGGAATCCGTCAGAACAACTCGGAGTAACACAAGCTTCCAGATTCCCTCTCCAGGCGTATTTCCTCTGTAAGGAGAGGCCTCCAGAGGAATCTGGCCTCATTTGTCGCAGAGAACAAAGGAGGAAACAGAAGCTCTGTTGGCTCAAAAGAGTCCTCTCAAGCTCAAACCGAGATTCAGTTAATAGGATACTCAAAGTGCATCAAAGGCCCACCCGATCCTAGGCACCTTGCAAAAGCTGGACAAAAAATACAGAACTATGGGTTTGTCGGAAAAGTCATGATGCATTTTTGCATAGAAAAACACTTCATGACTTTTCCAACAACCCAATAGTTCCCATCTCAGCCCATGAAGATACCTGTAAGTTAGTAATCATGACATAGTTGGGATTTTTTTTTTCTCTAGTGCTTCAGTTACTCCATGTGTGGAATATAAATGAGACCAACTATCTCAGAGTTGTTTATAAAAAGAAAAAAAAAAGATTTAAAAAATAGGCACAAAAAAGGTGTAAAGCTGTTTGAAGGTTAGCATTAGAGAAGATGAGCCTGAAGACCTTAAAGCAACATATTAGGAAGCTTGGAAACGAGGTAGGTTGGCAAAGAAATGGGGAATTTGCATGTTCCCAGGCAAAGGGATCTGGAAGTGAGGGAAAGCCAGGGGCCTTCAGAGAGCTCTCCTTAATTCAGGGGAAGAGAAAGGGGGCAGCTGGGAAAGAGACAGGGCCAGGTCCTAGCTGGCTCCATGAACCATTATCAAGTTTGGGGACTTCATCCAAGAATAATGAGGGTTATTGTAGGGCACAGAGTGACATTAGAAAGATGACTCTGGCACCAGGTGAGACCTTAAAGGGAAGCCAGGTGGGATATGACAGTGAGTGTGAGTGACTCTGGGAGATTTGTAGGGGATGGACAGGACTTGGCAACTGAATGTGGGAGGAAGGGTGAGAGGCACTTCTGCTTTGGCCCCTTGGAAGGATGTTTAGCCCTTCACTGAGACTAGAAGCATAGAAGCCCTCCTCCTCTGGGTGCAGCAGACACCAGGACTCCAAGATGGCGTCAGTCATACCAGTGAAGGAAAAGAAGCTCATGGTTGTCAAACATGGGGAGCTGCCAAGCTGGATACTGATGCGGGATTTTACCTCTAAAGGCATTGCTGGAGCATTTCAGAGAGGTTACTACCGGTATTGCAACAAGTACGTCAACATGAAAAAAGGGGGTGTTGCTGGGGTTTCTATAGTACTGGCCGCTTATGTGATCTTCAGCGACTGCCTTTCCTATGAGGAACTCAAACACGAGTGGTGATGTAAATACCACTGAAGAGGGCCAGCATGGAGGGCATACACTGAACCAGACCGTCATCTCCTTGGCTTAGCACCCCTCCAAAGGAACTTGTTGAGTCCTTTCATATCCCTGTCGAGCATTCACATCCAATAAAAGATGACTGGTATGTGGGAAAAGAAAAAAAAAAAAAAAGAAGCCCTCCTCCTCTGCAGAGGAGCTTTGAGTTCAGTTTTAGATACATCGAGTTTGCGATTTCTATGGTTTATTCAAGTGAGGCCCTCTGTAGGCACTTATCACAACTACTGTGTGGCAAGCACTGTGCCAGGCACAGGCGTGTACCCGTTGCTGTGAATATGCCTGGGAATCACACTCATCCCTGTCATCTAGTCATTGTAAAAATGGGCTGATCCGCCTACTATTTAGAAAGCAAGCAAGCATTAACCTATCTGTTGGTAAGCTAGTGAATCCAATAACAATGGGCCAGATCATTCAACCTGGGTGAGACCTGGCATTTGAGAAGTTACATTTATTTTCCATGCTACGAGGCTACCAGTTTTTAGCACTTGGGTAACAAATGTATTGAATAATAAATAAACTTGTGGTTTGAAAAGATGTTTTTCTTAAGACAAACAAATAATAAACAAGAATAACACAAAAACACTAACTTTAGGTAATTGCTTATTCTTCAAATTAAGGAAGACCAATAGAATAAGGAAATAAATTCTTTAAAATCAAGACTGTTCAGAAACAAATATTTTAAGTACATTATGACATGTTATCTATCTCTGGTTCCAGGGCTAAGACAAAAGAAAAATGTTTGATTTGCGATAAAGAAAAAAAGTGCTCAATTCAGCAGCACATGTACTGAAATAAGAAAAAAAAAAATCATGAATTTGTAGAATAATTAAAATATAGTGCAAACCATTAAGAAAGGTTAAGTGTTTAAGAAGGGAATTTCCGTAGTTACTAAATAATTCAACATATAAAGTGTAAATAGGTAGCCAAAATGGCTTAAATCCTCATTCACATTATTATTGACATTTCCCATAAAGTTGTAAAATCTGAAACTTAACATATATCTAAAGAAGCTCTTTTATTTAACAGGAATGAATAAAAATAATGATGAAATAATATTAAGAAGAAATAGTAAGAGCTAACGTTTTCTGCCTCCTGATATACAACTGAACCCTTATAAGAACGATCCGTTTAATCCTCATACCAACATTCTCAAGAAGCAAGAGTTTTTATTGCCCCTATTTTACAGCTGAAGATAGAATATACAGCTAGCGTTCTCCTCATCCATCAAAAAAAAAAAAGAAAGAAAACCTTTAATGTGTTTGGTTGTAACAAACAAGCATGGCAGATCTCTCTCTGTCTCATTGCTTTCTCTGTCGGGTGAGTATTTCACTTCAATGGAGTGTGAAATATGTGTATTAACTTTCCTCAAAGACAAGACAAAGGCTAGTAAGCAATGATCTGCCATCTACTCATAAACAATTACCCCAAATTGCAAAGTTTATTTCCTGAGCCACCATTTCGGACTCAAACCATCCATTTACCAATTAGAACTGTTTAGTCTGCAAAGTTAGAAACTGCCACAAGCAATGAGCCAAACTGCCAAGGAAAAAAGAGAGGCTCCTTGAATGTAAAAATGTTGATGTCCATCTCCTAGCTTCTCTTCTTCCTTTGGACCTGACTCAATGCCCTGAAAGGGAGGAGGCAGAAAAGGGGCAGAATTTGATCAGGGCCAGCCCCATAGCACAGGGGTGAAGAGAGCCGGATCAGTTATGGCCGACATGGTTTGAATCCCAGCTCCAGGAGCTTGAGAAACATGCTGGGTACATGTGCAGACATGAGTCCCAAATCGCAACAGGATAGAGAGATGGAGGAGGATGGATTTCGGTTTGACCATGCTCCATTGAAGGTGAGGGTTCTTTCTCTCTCTATGTATCTCTGTGTCTCTCCATCTCTCTCTGGTAAATGTACATGCCCTCTGTAAATAGCATACAGAAATATCATACTGAACTGTGAACTACAAGTAGCATTTGTGAAAGAAGTATCGATACATGAAAATGTACATGCCTTTGTACATACATGCACATATATTACTTGTTCTCTTAGTCCCAAAGCAACTTCTTCATGAAAATTGGAAAATATAACCAAGTTCTAGAATAGTCTACTTTAAAAATAAAATATCAAATGCAAAAAAAAATGACTAATTCAAGATGCAGGGATTCCGTAAACTCCCCAAAGCTGGTTAAAATAATTTGAGAAAATAATGTAAATGTTATGCATGGTGGGGAAAGAAGACATCTCAAAAATATGCCAATAAGCTATAGACTATAAACTACAGATACAAAACACTTCACTACATTCAGAAACATGGATTGTCCTTTCATTACATCTTGTTCAATATTAAAAGGATGCCTATGCAACCCAAATAATGAGTTGATAGGACATTACACATACCCTTACTCTATTTTATTGGTTGTCTTTTACAGATTTTGGTGAGTAAATGTAGTTACCCTTTTTCCTTTTTGCCTACGTCAAAGGAGGAAAAATTTAATACATTTCCCCCCCTCATTTCTCTTTTCTATGCTATGTTATCCTGTCTAATTCTATAATTTTCCATTGTGAAGTGCAAATGAAAACAAAATGCGATTTTTAAAAATAACATTATTTCAATTGAAAACAAAGGCAAATCAGTGGTGATTTGCTTCATTAAAATAGAAATTGTGAATATATTCAAAACTCTCAACTGCACGCTAAGCTACCCTCACCCACCCATTCTTTGCCTTCAAATAACTTTCCATATGATTCCATTTAACAAAATTTAAAATATTTTAAAAAGGGATCATTTGCATGAACCCCCTGGTGCCAAACTTGATTGCATTCCAGATCATTCACTTAATTATTATGGAAAAATCAAAACAGAAAATCAGTACAGCTGATTAGCAACGCTAAAGGGCTGCTATTACAGAAAGAAAACACAGCCCTGCAGAGTTAACCCTTCCTGACTTGGTGCTTCCCAGCTCCACTGGGAAGGCAGGCCATGCTTACTCTACCACAGAACGCAATAAACAGTCAGACTGAACAACATCTTTATACTGGAAGAGTCTGGGTTCCGATGATAGGAGCAGTTTCTGTATCAGTGTGTTAAGAGAAAAATAAATAGTGGGGCGTTGACTTACTAATTGATTTTTGCAACAACAGAGGAATAAATGATTCCAGACAGTTATTTTTGGCTCTAAAATCTACTCTCCTTCTAAAGTCATTAAATACACTCATAGAAATAATCTGGGTACCCTCGCACAATTTTTTTCTCAAGCTTATTTTCTACCCCTAAGATCCTGTGACAGTCCTTTAAATTAAAATGAATTTATTGATTAAGAGTGGCTATCTTCCACGATTTTCCCCTTGGGTACCAAGAGCCATCTATT